TCTCTCTCTCTCTCTCTCTCTCTCTCTCTCTCTCTCTCTCTCTCTCCACACACACACACACACGCACACACACACACAAATACACAGGCAGACAGTTAAGGATAGCAGGGTTGGAACCTACTCCATTTTAGTGGCAGCATGTTCATGTCCATGTTATCAATGCAAGGGGAGAAGTTCAATCGTCTGCATCTGCAAATAGAGCTCTCTACCCGAATCCTAGCTGTCATAGAACCAAGTGTGCAATTGATGTGCCATTAATCAATGCAATATCCACACAATCATTCACCAAGGATAATACACCGCCACAAAACATAAGGAAAACTCACGAATATTCACCTTTCTTATTCTTAGTCTTTCTTATTTTTGAAACTCCGCAGCATGACGAGTACTATTGCTCTTCAGCTCAGCCATGTCCCTCCAGCTCCACGGAGGTGTACTGTCACCTAATCCCCCTGCACATCGGATTATCGCCTTCTGTGTTGCATTATTCATTTTAACAGCCATTAAACCGCCACTACTTTTCACAGGCAACGTCGAAACACGAAAACGTTGCATTCCGCAACCCTTTGGAGGTCGGGCGCTACTGGACCAAAATGGCTGGTGCCACACAGCCAAATGAAAAAAAAATAAAAAAAAAACAGTTGCGCTGGTGCTTCAGCAATGCTTGGGCCGAAGTTCTTTCCCGCCTCCGCAAAAAGAGGCTCCGAGGTAGCGGTTGTTTGGGATAAGATTATAATACAAGGAGGACTGCAGTGTTGTAAGCTACATGTGGAATTAAGCATTCATTAATTGATAAAGACGAATTCCAACAACGTTCTTGTCACTGTAGGATTGCACTCTCGACTTTATTGTGTGTTTTAGGGCCTTGGGGGAAGGCAGGTAGGAGGGGATGATCACCATGGCATGGATTGATTCCATTCCCCTTCCATGTTTTCCTTAAACGCCGAGATGGATGCATGAGTCGATATACTTCACGGGAGGTTGAGGATAGAGTTCACAGCCAACGCACCCTCCCATTGTCACCGTCTTCATCCGTGTGGTCCGATAGCAGCGCCAATAAGTTTGCCAAATGCTTGGTGACAAAAGAAAGCCGATGTGCCTCTTCCTCAGACACACCTGGGGACTTGTACCTTGACCCGGCGGAGCTCTTCAACTACGAAATGCACAACCATAATCAGGAACAAATAAACAGCAGCAATCAATTACGAGCACTTCCAAGATTTAGACAACCACAATGGCAATGAAGAAAAAAAGAGAGAACCATAATCAGGAACAAAAAAACAGCAGCAATCAATTACGAGCACTTCCAAGATTTAGACACAACCACAATGGCAAGGAAGAAAAAAAAGAGGGATTTTTCGGAGGAAAAGGCAACAAAATAAAGGGTGAGGATGAAGCATTTGCGAAACGAAAGATCAACAAACCAGTTGAAACAAATGTCCACCTGGGCACCGCACTTTCAAGTTCCCTCATTGCTCCTGTGCCCCAAGTCACAACTCCCTTGCCAGTGGGCCAGCATCATCTCAGTCCACGCAAGTGGTTGAATTGGCAATCAATTAGTACGTGGCTTTGTATTCATCATTCAAAGCAGGGGAATGCCATCGAGGCATCATCGAGGACAGGAGCGGACGGGATGACCGGGAGGATAACGGCACATACTACTATGACTGTTTCCTGAAAACCATGTACCCACATAATACGATTTTGACAGACCAAAAACACAGGCCACGGCCAATGACAATCATTCCTACATAGCATTTGAGCAGCTAATAAGTGAATGGAGGAGGAGGGGAGGGAGAAGGGAGGAGAAGAAAAGGAAGGGAGTCAAGGAGGAGGAGGATGACAAGGAGGAGGAGGAGAAGGCGAAGGAAAGAAAGAGAAGCAGGAGAAGCAGGAGGAGAAGACGGAAGGAGACTGAATTAAGAATTAAAGTCTGTGTCTCAGTCTAAACGCACCCAAGATATTTTGAAGAGTACTGGATCATGACTCGTTGCGCAAACCGTGGCAAGTCACGTCCACAGCACTTCGGTCAGGAACCACAGAGGCTGGGATCTTTTTAATCAAGTCCCTCCTCCACATATATATATTATATAAATGGACGTCCTGTGAAAGGACAGATTCGCAAACATGAGGACAGATTCGCAAACATAAGCCATTTCCACATTTTGCCTGTTGCCCTGATGATCCAATCGCTTTTCCCAAACAGATGGCTGGGATCGCACAGTTCTTCTCGTCTCTATAGACTCGTATAGAAAGGGTGGTTTTCCCGGCCCCTGGCACCACTTCAACATCGTAGCTGAACGAACAGTGATTTTTAACGCCACTACCATCTTCCCCCGAACACAACGCACCCTCATTATGAATGCGTCCAACCGGAAAGATGGCTCTATACACTCAGAATCAGGGTGCATTATGTTCGAGGGAAGACGGTACCACCAAAGCTCCCACTTCGCCTCCTCTTCAACCTCTTCATTGCCCTCCTCTGACTTCTCCGCTGCTCTTGGCTTGGAATTATTTTCTTTGGACAAAGTAAATCAAAAAATAAAAATAAAAATCTTACGGTCACAATGGAGAGAAGAAAAACAGGAAGCCATTCACCCAAAGCAAGATAATAAAAAGAGGAGGGGAAAAAAGGGAAAAATTGTCACATTCACAGGCAAACAGAAGCACCTCGCCAAATCGCTCTGAGGGCCACTGGAAAAGGACAATTCGAAGGAAGCGGGTTCTGAAAATGGACACACTTAGAGCATGATTGAAAAGTTTCAAGAAAAGGCGAAGAAAGGGAAAAAAAGAGCACAAGGTGTAAGATCTTTACAGAAATTGCCGTCGCAGTTTATGCCGAGGCGTAGTCATTGCGCAACCACCTCCTTCCACAGCAGGTCGCCATTTGAAAGAAACGACAGGCAGAACCATCCGGTCCCAGTTCTATGAGTCAAGGAGACAAGTCTGACGGCCTGATAGAGGTCGCCTCCCCCAGACACAGAGAGAGGAGAGAGAGAGAGGGAGAGAGAGCAACGGGGGAGCAAGCAAGAGAGCGAGAGGCAGAGAGCGAGAGGCGAGAGGCAGAGAGCGAGACGCGAGAGGCAGAGAGCGAGACGCGAGAGGCAGAGAGCGAGACGCGAGAGGCAGAGAGCGAGAGGCAGACAGCAAGAGGCAGAGAGCGAGAGGCAGAGGGCAAGAAGAAAGAGAAAGCAAGGAGGAGAACGAGCAAGAAGGAGAAATAGAGGTGGGCTGCCCCAGACAGACAGAGAGAGGGAGAGAGAGAGAGAGAGAGAGAGAGAGCTGTCTCTTATACACATCTAGATGTGTATAAGAGACAGACATATCTATGTCGTTATGTTCAAAATGAAAAAA